AAATGGATAAAACACAGCTCCTCAGAGAAAACACTATGTGTACAATGCTTTAGTTTTTATTGGCAGGAGCAGGGTAGCGACAGGCTTCAGTGCTGGACATATAACTTTAACTGGAAAAAAATAAACTCTGCAGACACACAAAAAAAGAAAAAAACATATAGGGTATCATCACGGCTGGGAGGTCCTCTTGTTTTTGTAAATGTTTGCTGTCAGTAAGCCGAGCTTCGCTTTAAGATATAAGGCCTCCGCGACTTGGTGTTGTGCGCAGCTTGCCTCTTCAAGATGTATGGGGATTTTCGCTTCAGGGGAGCATCACTGTTTTCCTCTGAATATTCCATAGAGTCTGGAAGTAGCTGTGAGGAGGGGAGAAAAAAAGAAGAGAGTGCATCACATATCCTGTATGTAAGCTGGGGGGGTTTGTGGCGTTGAAACATATGTTTTCTCGCTCAGAGGCAGTTAAATGGGAATGCTGAGCTAGCGTAACTGTGATTAAAGGAGTGCACCTGCTCTGCACATTCATGCATGGCAAAGCAGGTGCTAATCTGCAGGCGCTGTTAACACTTAAAGAATAAAAAAAGAGGAAAGCCTCTCTGAAGGGGAAGATGATGAAGGATGGGAAGAGGAGAGGGTGAGGGAAATTAGAGGTGTGTTTACCATTAGAGCGAAGGTGCGTGGGATGATGTGTGGCAGTGGAGGACGGCACATGTGTTCAGGGGATTTTCTATCAGCTAAAACAGCCTCTTATTGGCTCATCTGGATTATATTTATTTTGACAGGGAGATTTTTTTTAACCAAACAGCTCATCCCAGTTTTGACTTTAATTCAAAACATAAAGAAGAATACCACATTTTCACTTAAGCTGTTAAGGATTTAAGTTCATAGGAAATGATTAAAAACGTACTTAATTTAATAGTTTTAAAGGCTAATTAATGCAGATTCATATTTTTTTGCCATCCATTAAGGTACAAAATTATAAAGAGGTTTAACCCCTATGTTATGACAGTGAGCTTTAAGGCTTTGAACTTTTTTTTTAAACTCTCCTTAGAAAGCCTGCAGCTTCTCATCCTCTCTCTAACGTTCTGCTCTCTCTGCTTTTTCTCATAGTAGCTTCATCTGGTCTGTTCCTGTTTGGCTGTGACTCCATCC